TACAAAAATTAACTTTGGCAATATTTTATTTTTCAACATTATATCTGAAGAAATTTTTCAATTATATGTAGCTTTTGCGTAAAATATTTATATCGATTTTTAATATTTTACAAAAGCAGATTTTGTGCACTCATCTAGTATATATACTCTAGATAATAATATACAAATATCAGAGAAAGCTAAAGATGAACGCGCAGTGCATATTCTGTTCTATGCAATGCGTGAGCGGCTGTTGTTCACAATGTAATTAAATGAGTCGTGGTCAAAAATTTTCACGATTACTTTAACATCTCGAAAAATGTTCTCAAACTATAATGTATTATGACGAGATTGCTGTTGCCGTACAAAGGATTCGAGAAGTGAGTTTTTTTAAATATGAATTAACTTATAAGCAAAGTTTTGAAGATTGAATTATTTATGGCACCATATGAATTTCGTCCAAATGAAGTTTTTGATGGGAGAAAACACATTGTAGACGTAGTGGCCAAGCAATATCTTGAACAGGCTCCTAGTGATGTGCATCACCTGGTTCCAGGGTGTGAGTGTGGGTGTGAATGTCACATATAATTACGGTAAGGCCCACACACACATTCTAAAATAACAAAGTGTTTTTTCAGAGAAAATAAAGTTTTAAGCATTTTTGTCTTTCAAAAGCACTTGCTTTTAGTCACAAAGCTGCAACTGAAATTGAATTGGAATTCATTGTTAAAGGTTGAATTCGCCTACGATTGGCTCGATTGAAGAATATAGTATTTTTTATATAAATCCAGATTTTTCGCCATTCATGCCAAAAACGAACATCTAAAGCTGCAATAATTATTGGATCGAATGCTATTTGAATAAAACTAAGCAACATAACAGTATACATCACATTATGATCACTAAATGATACTTGAGAAATAATAACATATGGTGACCAAAGTCCACCCCAAATGAAATAAAAACAAAGAAATTGAATAACTAATAAACGATGATATTTTTCACGAGCTGAAACATGATGTTGTGTTGGTTGTAAAGTTGATGTTAAATGAACATGACGAACACTAACATAAATTACCAATACATTCAAAAACATTGGTAATGCATATCCAAAAATTGTACTAAATACTTGAATATAGACATTCGTATAAAATACGTCACAACTATCGCTAATGAGTTCTTTTATCTGAGTCCAACCAAAAAGAAATTCGACAATAAAAACAACCAATGGTACTAAATAGATACCAAATTGAGTCAAGATCAATCGTTTCATATCGACTTGGTATAC